CAAGACAATAAAGGATAGTGGGTTGACTTTAGAACTGCAAACATACCTGCGAAGAAGTATCATATAAGCACGAAAGATTTTCCGCTAAAATAATAGACTGTATAAGATTCCAAAGGTCGGGATATGTGTAAGAAAGATAATGTGTTTGGGAAAAAATTGTTTTGTTTATTCTTTTATCTTGTTGATCTTGTGACTTATTAATTGCCAACTGATCAACATGATAATGATATTGTGACATCAGCGCTCAACGGAGAATAATCAAAAATTTAGATTCCGAGTCAATGCAGTACAGCCACAATTCAATCGCAATCGCGGTCGCGGTTAGTATAAATCCTATTTAAATCTAAATAAAAAAGTCTACGCCACGATACAGTCGCGCTAGGGTCGCGGTTATAATGATGCACATTTTTTCAGAGACGCAAATTTAAATCACATGATTTTTATCTATATATTCCAGGATCTTCGATTTATGGATGATTTAATTGGGTGATGTTCAGATCATCAGATCATTTCTATAAGCCATAATGAATCTCTTTGGATAAAGCAACTCAGACGGAGCAACCCAAACGGAAGATATTAATCCGCAAGTTAAGTAAATTTAATTCAGAAAGAAGGGTCAACGGTATCCTACGCTCATAAGGTTCCGCCCTGTGACCGATGCTTGGATCAGAGTGTTGCGGGATAATCACTATAACTCGTTACTTGGACTTTGTTTGTAACGGCTTTTAGTTCCTACTCCTGGGCCTTTCGTCCAGTATACCGAAGAGCTAGCATCCTACGCCCGTATGTTCCCGCACTTCGGCCGATGTTTGGATTAGTGGATGCCGGATAATCATTATAACTCACCGTTTGTGGCTTTTAATGCCTACTCCGGGTCCTCTCTTCCAGTGTTGGAGCTCTTTTTCCATAATTATCTTCTATATTTTAGCAGTTTTGGAGTTTAGGATCGATCACTCATAACACCTTTTTTCTACTATTCTTTAGATATGGATTTTGATCATCACGTTACTGACTTCGTATATAACTCTGATCCCATGGAATGGAATATTCTAAATTGCCTTAAATATCTGGAAGAGCATGTGCAATACACTTCTGATAGCAAAAAAGATATTGTTTCCGCATTTGTGAAAACGTTTAAACAAATTAGTAATTCCACTGCTCTGCTTCCTGGGGTAAAGAAAAAGGCCCAAAAATTATGCAAAAATGCTGAAGAGACTTTTCAAAGAAAAGAAATTGATGATTTTTTTAAAGATCTGGATCATAAATTTGAAACGGTTGGTGGCTTATGAATTTTGCAAAACGTAGGCTTATAATATATTAATTCTATTATTTTGTAGAGACAAAATGAACGGGATCTCGAGAGTTCTTTCGATAATAATGGCTGTGAACTGCTAAAGAAGTCTGGTGATTTCAATACACTGAGACTCTCATCCCGTTATATGAAAAGGTCATCAGAATTTCTTGAAGAGGTAAGATCAACGCTTTTATTCGTGTTCTCCGAGTTTGTGTCAAGTCTATGTACTAACTTTAGAGCTCATCAACCTTTATGAATTTCTTCGATACGTCATCTAGGACGAGTCAGTATCGAACCAAAGTAATTATTTTTTAAGAAAAAGACATGATATCGATTATAATGAGGAACGGATGATAAAGAAACAACATCAAGATAGATACTCTACACCATCACCATGTAGTCCAACATTACATTCATTGCCAATAGATAATCCATTTGTAGTAGAAGAGGACGAGGACGAGGATGGCCCCATAATAATTGATGATTTTTCAGATGAACTATCCTTCGAGAATGGGGATCCAGAAAATGATCTTAAGATAGGAGAGGCCAATGTGTCTCAATTATTCCGGCAGTATCAAAAAGAGTCGTTAAAGATCGCAAAGACTGGTGGTTTACTTGTTGAATCAAACGTACATGAAATATTGTCATTGTCTTCGATTTTTCTGCTTGTTCCAGGTTCTCACCCAAATACGATGATTAATATATTTAGTTCTCCTTTGCTTGATGAAATCCATCAACAAATAATCCCGACACAGCAAATAGAATTAGATTCTGAGTGCGAATCAAAGTTTAGGAAAGCGACCAAGAAAGCAATGAAAGAGTCACGTGAATGTGCTGTTGATTGGCTGTGGTCAGAACTTTCAAATGATCAAACTTTAAAGGAGAACTTGGGCATTGTATTCTTAGAGTGTTTGAAATCGTTACCAATTACAAAGATTAAAAATGAACCCAGTGAAATAACATTGATCACAAATCATCTAGACTACATCATTAAGGGGATGTTGCATAATCCAGACAAGCACATTGTTGAGTGGCCTAACACGGGTCTTGATGAAATAAGGCAAGAAAACTACGAGGAAGAAGCAAACCCGGACTTTACAGTATCTATTATCCATCAGCTTCAGAAGAATGGCGTTATATTCGTGGGTGAAGTTAGTCCGCCTTCAGAAAAAAACAATGTGTACAAGAATTGTAATGATTTAATTCGTGTTGGTGTTTTTATGAAGGACTGCCAGGATTCAACCATAGACAAGGGTGCTGACATAAAAATACTAGGTTTTCAATGCATCGGTAAGGAAAATTATAAGTTTATTTTTTTTTCTTGTGCAACTTCTTGTGAATAACTTTGGATATTTGCTTCTATAGAGTATACAGTTGACTTTTATATGATGGATCTTGTTCAGGGAATGTATGCCATGATTCACATAGGCCAAGTGTCGATTCCTACTTTCTTGAAAGAGATATCAACTTTCATTGAGGATATGGAAACTCTTCTAGAAATACACACAACTGTCACAAAAGCTGTTCATTTAGGTTTGGACGTTTTTAGTGAATAGGGATGGTTGATAGATTTTCTGTGACTTTGCGATTTGATCATTTTTTTTCTGCTCAATTAAGTATTATCTAACCATAGTATAACATATAATCAAAAATAAAGGTTTCACTCACATCGGGCTTTTTCCTTTAACCTTAAATGCGAGCGTGGACGTGGAATTTAAGTGAATTACTACGTCACATTATTGCGCTCTTATGACATTCCTATCACGCAAAGAAAAATCATGTTTTCGAGATAATGTATAAATGCGCCTATAAAGTTTCGTCCGCATTAGGCTTTAACCATGTGGTGTGGGATGTGTGCATGCATCGTGCAAGACACGGCTTAAAGGCTGAGGATCCTCTACCTGATACAATGAGTAGTGTAGACACATAGTTATATAGTCGCGAATTGTATCTGCGAAGTCATATCGATTTTTAAATGTAAATATATCACTGATCATTATTGGTTAAATAAAGATTTCGCATATAAATATATCAATCATGATTATTTTTTTATTTGAAATTTCTTAGCAAAATTTTCTCATCGTTTCCCTGGGAAACGGTTTTCGATAGTACATGATTTTTATTAATCTAAACTTTTTTTCAATAATATACAGTATGTGATTCAACAATTTTATATATTACTAAATCTTTAATATAAATTTATTTTGAATACACTAAAATTGAATCATAATATTCTAAAGTATAAAGTTATTAAATCTAACAAGTCTAAATCCCTAAATACGATATAAATCACATATATCTGCTATAAACACATTATAATTAAGTTATATAAAATAAATGGTTAACTTAAGTAAATTACGTGGAACCAATTGTACCAATGCTGAATGGGATGAATATGTAAGGTTGCCACAAATTCTTGATAATGAAACTCCCAGTGAGTGGATGTAATGGATTTGGGAACATCTTACATATTTTAGAGAAAATGATCTCTTACCTTATAATAGCAAAAAATATCTTGAAGCTAGGAAATTAATATGATTTCTGGATGGCAGTTCATATGCTCCTGAAATCAGAATAGCAATATGTTTCTCTTGTGATTGATTAATATATACTGGACAAAGAACTAAGAATATGGAAAATTATAACCATATAGGAATGGAAAAACATTGAAAATTTTCATGTACCAGTAATAAATATTGTGGTGTAAATTATGAAAAATATATGCAAATTAAGCAAAAATCTAGCTCTGAACATAATTATGATAATATGTATGCATTACATCGATATGAATTATGGATGTTCAATGCAATCTAAAGAATTAAACATGTTAGAAAAGTTAGTTTAACTACTTAGTAGTTAGTATTACATTATGCTTATTTACAGCAGAAATATATCAAATTAATATTGTATAGATATTAATATTTGAAAATGAATCATTATTTGTATTAATATAATAACATATAACTTATTCATTTATCTGATTTATATATCTACTAAGAAAATTCATATCTTTTTTTTGATACATCAGTTACTTGATAATTCTCTATTACCTATTCTATACATCTCATAGCTGACAGCTTTCTCTTTTTATACTCCATGTATGTCTCAATACCACAAACCATATCACAACAATAATCAATAAGGCAAGTAATATATATACTGATAACTATAATATCAAAGTACTTGCAACATTAGGTATTGCTTCTATTTCTCTTATCAAAATTCGCAAATATGAATTTATATGTATCTAGTATAATATTTTTACTAGTTTCACTATTATTAGTTTTATATATGTTATCATCTTTACTTAATAAGTTATTTATATTGAATATAGAAATAGCTTTGTTATTATTATCAATTTTTTAATATATTCTATACTTTTTTTGTATTCTAAATATGGTCTAAGACTATTACTAAATTTATCAATTATAGATATATGTACTTTAGCACTAACTCTATTATTATCAGACTTGATTATATTTTTTTTGTCATCTCCATTAACTATTGTGAAACAAGTCATTAGATAATTCTTCAAATTATAGTCCAAAAGATCTATAGGTTTTGATATAGCCTCTAATTTCAGATAATTGAGTTCACTTTTCACATACTTCAATTCAATTTTTATTTATTTAAACTCAACCATTTTAGAATTAAGAGATCGATTCTTGGATTCTGTTTTTGATAAGTTTTCCTGAATTAAAAATATGTCTTTTTGGTCTAATGCTAACTTACCTTCCAATATTTTAATCATAGCTTAAAGTGATTTTATTTTTTTTGATTATATATCATATTTGACTTTATACTTATTATAAAAAATCTGTAATTGGGTAATCTGGAATATAAGGTTAGTATTGTTTACTTTTAGTTGTTTAACCTTATTAATATGTTGACAACTATACTTAAAAAGTTTCTTTTTATCTTTATTGATTTTATTTAAATTATATTGCAATTATCTCTTATCCTATTTAATATTTTTACTAAATTCTGAATATATCTTCCAGTAGTTTTTAAAATTCTTAATAAGTTTAGAATTAGTTATACAACTATTACATAAAACTTCTTCAAGTTCTATTTTCTTAGTATCTTCAAGTTGATATTCTTTTAAGTTAATATTTCGAATTGTATGAACATTAACCATATTAAATAATAAATAATATACAGATATTAAATATTAGTAATAATTAATAAGAATGGAATACAATGTAATATATTTATCTGATAAGATTATTTAAGAAATAAAAGAATCACCAGGTAAGATGCCTGATGCTATAAATACTATAGTAAAAAAATATCATATTTATTATACTCATGTTATAGAATATATAGAAATCAAAAGTATAAACAACAGATAAGAAATACTAATTCTATTAACTGGAATAAAGAAATTAAGAGTATTTATGAATTATATATGGAACGTCCATATTAATAAAACTAGCTTCATTAATAATTTCTATAATTATCTAATGATATTTAATATTAAATATAATTAGACTATTAAAAAATAATATTATTAGTTATTTTTAAATTATATTATATAATAATTATCTTTATCTATTTCAATTTCTAGTACTTGTATTAGCTTTATTAATATTTTTTATTTATTTATAATAATAGATATCAATTTTTTATTGTTCAAAAATATTAAATATTATTTTTTGTTATTTTAAATATTTGATAAGAAATCAATTAGAACACTTAAGGGAAAGACTTCTAAATATAGAACAATAAGAGATTTCCATATTAATAAAAATTAATTTAATAATATATAGAAAGGTTATAAATATCAGCAACAAATAATACAGAGTGACATTCCCTCTGAATTATTACTAACAATTTTATCTAAAAATTCTAATCAAACCAAAAGAGAGGTTTTATTACAAAGCAATAGTTCTTTGAACCTACATTTGAAATCTGCTACTTTTTTCAATATAGAAATTAAAAAAAGAAGTTTCAAATCTCAATTTAAATATATTTGTATATCTGATCAATCTTTTATCAGTAAAAATTTAATCAATAAGGTAGATAAAATATTAGAAACAAGAAAAGAAACCATATTACCTAAAATTTCGCAAAAAACAGAAGATTATTTAAAATTCTATAAGAGAATATAAAAAAATATTAAAAAAGTTAGAGCACTTGTTTATGCTAATATATCTAAACTATCTACTTCTAATCCAAAAGTATATAATTGATTTTTGCTTTATACTAATTATACAAATTATTATAATATCCAATAAATTCTGAATTAGTTTAAATACAAGTAAATAGTGTCTTTTCAAGTTTATTTATATGAATAGTCATATTTTCACAATTTATATATATATTTTTTACCTCTAATGCTTGTAATTTTTCTGTATTAAATATATTATATGATTTTTTGTATATAAAAAGAGAAATAATAATAGTTTTTTTATTGTATATAGTTGTAAATTCTCCTTTTACTATTGGATTCCACCCAATATAATGTGTCATTTTGTATCAACTATTATTATAAATATATCCTTTTCATTTTAATTTTTTTTATAGGATTACAGATGTTTCTTTTAGTAACTGTTATAAAATCTTTTTCAGCATCGATAGTTATAGAAACATTATACAAAGTATTAATGAATTGAGAATCTCCAATGCATTCATAAGTTTATAAATATTTTCTTATTTATTTTTATTTCTAAACATTCAAGAATATTATCTGTAAACAATAAATTATCTGTACCAATATTTAGAATTGTATGAATTATTATTAAGTCACCTATTCTACATAAAATAGTTGTGATATTACTAGATTCTATTTTGAAAAAATCAATCTCAAAAGGATTAGGCCAATTTCAGGTTATTTGTGCTTTTTAATATATTTTAATAGCATTATTTAAAGAATGAAGCTCTATGTTTTCCAAAATATTTGGATAAGATACAAAGACATAATTTTGATTTGTATCTTTATGATTTGAAAAGTTTGGAGTCTACTTATTAAAAAGTTCAATAAAGGGTTAAAAATAGTTAGATGTTTTTTTGTAATAATTTTCCATACCTTATCTTTCTTTAATTGTATATATTTTAATATAATATAAATCAAATTGGTTCTTCATTTTTATAAACAAATTAATAAGAAATATATGAAGTTCAATAAGAATCTTTCTAGAACAATTAGATATTAATTTAGATATTATATATTTAAGATATTTAAGAAATACTTCATATTTCAAAGTATCAATAGATTTCTTAGTAGGTTTCTTCTTTGTAGGAATTCGATTTTTTATATTAAAATAATTTTGTGGTTTATTATCAAAAATAATTTTTTCTTCCTTTTTTTTATCTTTGTGTTCATCATCTTCCAATATTACTATCTTTTTATTATCTGAATTTTTGAATTCACTTTGATAAATATTATTAACTTTTTAAGTTTTTTAACAAGTCTAAAACACTTATTTTTTCTGTCCAATTTTTTTTACAATTTAAGTATTTGTAAGTAACTTTCTGTGATTTCTTTGTGATATATACTTTTTTAGTACTTCCAATATTACTATTTTGTTTAAAAGATTCTTTTTTAATATACATA